TCTTGAATCTTTAAGAAATGATGACTAACTGAACTTTCTCGGTGGATAATGAAAAAATGTGTTTTTAACAGTTACCACAACGAGTCAAGCGAGAATAGCCTTGAAGATGTTGAGGGAAAACAAAGATAGATTTGACTTAGTTATCAGTGATGTCCATATGCCTGACATGGATGGCTTTAAGCTGCTTGAACAGGTTGGCCTCGAAATGGATCTGCCCGTCATCAGTACGTGCCAAAAAAACCTTTCTTTCTCATTCTCTCTCGTCTTTAGATTTTTTTTTTTTTCCTTTCTTAATACATAAAACAAATGTTGTACTGTTTCTATTGTTTGGCAGTGTTATCTGCGAATAGTGACCCCAAACTCGTGATGAAAGGTGTAACTCATGGTGCTTGTGATTATTTGGTTAAACCCGTACGGATTGAGGAGCTGAGAAATATATGGCAACATGTGATAAGAAGAAAGAAGTTTGTGTCGAAAAACGAGAATAAGTCGGCTGATCAATCCAAACCTAATCAAGCGAGTGGAGAAGGACAAGGTGGGGCTATCCCGGATAACGGTGATCAGAATGGAAAAACGAATGTTAGAAAAAGGAAAGACGATGAAAATGTGAGCGAAGATGGGAATGAAAATGAAGACCCTGCAACTCAAAAGAAGCCTCGTGTTGTTTGGTCCATTGAGCTCCACAGGAAGTTTGTTGCGGCCGTTAACCAGTTGGGCATTGAAAGTATGCTTTCCTTTATTTTATTTTTTATTTTTTCCTTTTTCGAGTTATTATCATCATTCTTGCTATCTTTTTTCAATATATATATATTTTTTGGTTAATATAAATTGCAGAGGCTGTTCCGAAAAGGATTCTTGACTTGATGAATGTGAATGGGCTTACCCGAGAAAACGTTGCTAGCCATCTGCAGGTACTTTAAGAGAAAGTACAGTAAAAATCTCACATAAGCAAATGTTTTCTTGATATGCCCTTTTTTATAAAAATGCATCTTGATTAGGTTAATAAAGTTCAAAGAAAATTGAACACTCAGACTTAAATATCAAGCTGAAATATCCTTAAAAAGAGTAAAAAAATAAAAATTCTTACCAAAGTTCTTTCCTTTTGCAGAAATACAGGCTGTACCTCAAACGAATAAGCTCGGTCGCAGCTCAGCAGGCCAACATGGCAGCTGCATTCGGAGTAAAGGACTCTCCTTTCATCCGCATGGGCCCGTTTAGTGGCCTCCCAAACGCGGCCTTCCCACATTACTCGTCTGGAGGAATGCTCGGCCGAATAAACCCACCCACAAATATGAACCTAATACGCAACATCTCTCCATCTGCATTTATCCCGACAAATTCCCTCAATGCCCTTGGGAAAATGCCGAACCCGAACCTGTTTCCAGGGATCCAGCTGTCTTTAGAACTCGACTCGAACAAGCAAGGAGCTGTAGGCGGGCCCAGCAATGTTGTGAATGGAAATTTCCAGCAAACGTTGAGTAATGGGCTTTTTGGGCCCGAGTCGTTTGGCGTCAACAGCATTGAAACATCCTCTGTGGTTCAGCCGAACAACTCGTTAATTTCCGGGCAGCCGTTTAATTTGGCCATGAATAGCGGCGAGCCTTATGTGTCGAGCCATTCTATTGACATGTCGTCTGGACCTGGGAATGGAATGGCTTTGTCTTTGGATGATTTGGGTGGCGAACAGGGGCAAAATGGTCACGGTTCGAAAGTTGGTTACGGTGAGAAGTCTCAACAAGGAGGGTTTCGAGGTCGCAGTTATGATTCGTTGGATGATATGATGAATGCTATGATCAAAAGGGTATAATACAAAAGTATTATATATTAAAACTCATTATTCATTGTCTTTCGATTAATATTTAGTGTTTGATTTGTGTTTTTGATGTGTAGGAACACGATGAAAAGGATCTGAACTGCGATTTCGGGTTAGATGGTTATTCGTTCGGGCAAGGAGGTGTATGAGGCTCGATGAGGACAATATCTGTCCTCTTTAACTTACTTTCGGAATCTGTAGGATGTTTGAGTTTGATTTTTTTTTTTTTTTTTTNTCCCTTTATAATCCATAAGCTGCAATTACGAGTAGCAAAATGTTAGCTGCTGGCTTAGAGAAACTTTGAAAAACTGTCATTAACAACCTAATTTCAGCTACAACCAGCCATACTTACTGGTCTTTACAGCGGCAATTTAATAATTTTAGTGGATTTATGACTAATTATTTCTCATTATACTGTGTAATTGTTGGTGGCAAGATACTCTTTTGTGTATAATATAGTTTGAGGTAGAAATTGAAAGATGAACAACTAACAAGATACAAAAGAAATTATAAATTATCTGCAAGTAAAAGAAAAGGAAAAAAGAAACAAGAATCAGAATCACTGGATTATTATAATGATTCTTTTGATTAGTTTATCTTAACTTATTAGATTAACTTAACTGAAGCGTTGATTATTTAGTATTAATGAAATTAGAATGATCAGCTCACGGTTGATCAGATGTTATTTTTGAAACATATGGTCCTTTGTATCCGCGTTCATGAGGTAGGTAGGAAAGTATGAGAAGTTGAGAACCCACACGTCACTTTAATACGCGTAATTTGATGGGAAAAAAAAAAGTATTTAATTAACACAAGTGTTTTATTAGGCTTTCTTGGTAAATTTTAATTGAGTTTGGTGAAAGTTAAGTCGTCTAGCCGTTAGACAACATACATTTTAATCTTGATGAAATTAGGCTAGACGTCAGTGAAAGTTAGACCATCTAACTATTAGGGGTCATTGCATTATAATTGAGGTTGGTGAAAATTAGATTGTCTACTAACCATTAGGCAGTGTACATTCTAATTGTATTCTAATTGAGGGTGGTGAAAGTTAGACTGTCTAACTATTAGGCAACATGCATTCTAATTGCATTCTAATTGAAGTTGGTGAAAGTTGGATTGTCTAACTATTAAGCAACATGCATTCTAATTGAGGTTCACCCCGTGTTAGATTGTCTAACCATTAGGCAGCATACATTTTAATTGAGATTGGTCTTTGCCATATGAACTAAATTGTCTAACCATTAGGCAATTCTTTTCTATTTTAGAAGATTTCAAGTTTCGAATCCTAAGATCAAAAGGAAATAAAAGCGATCTGTGTAACACCATGGAATTTCACTCGTTTTCGTGTAATGAAAGTAATTAAAACCCGTACAGATTACATTTGCATTACCAAGAGTCGGATAATTCCGAAATATAATTTCTATACCTTCACTGCAGACTGCGGCCATTTTTAGCCCAAGAAGCATAAAATATCAAATCCAAATATACCTCAAAGATGACTGTGGTAAGAGATATCCACAAACAAAGATTCCCCTGCTCGATTAATCTCTACCTTTCCCAGTCAATTTCAAGATTTGTATGTCAATAAAGCATCATCACTAATAAAGAAAACACATATCTATTGATTATAACTAACTATTCACCTTCCCAACCGAGGTCCCGGGCCCTTTTCTCCCACAGAGCTGTTAACTTCTTCTCCTTAGTGAGAAGCACCACTGCCCGTTCTCTCGAGCCCTCACAAGTCTCAGTGGCAGCATTGCATTTTTCGGCCTCCCTTTGATATTGGGAAGCTAATCTTTTGGCCTCTCCTAAAGTAACGTTCATATGTTGGGAATGTGCTTCGCTAACGGCTTCTTGCAGCTTTAGCTCTTCTGATAATAAGTCCACAATTTGCTTCTCCATTTCTTCCTTCACATCAGGGTCATCTTTCCCGCAATCTATTTTACCAGATGAATAAATAAAAGAAACGGGTAAAATAAGTTTCATGTTAGCAATAGATGAGCTGAGACTCTCGGAGGTTTTCTAATAGTACATAGTAAAAAATCTAAGTAAATTAGAAAAACAACTGATTATCATATGAATTCACTTTTTGAAGTTTAGTGGCCATCAATAAAAGAAAATGTTAAAGAGAGACTAGAAAAGCAAAGCCCTTTTGTGCCGGTTATTTATTCATTTCGGAAATAAACTGGATGACTATAACAATGAACATCAGGTTTTAGAACACCATGAAAAGTAGTTGCTACCAAGGAGAAAGCATAGTGGAAAAGGGAAGAATTTCTTTAAGATGTTGTTATCTTTACCTGTAATGGAAAGATTAGCCAAACCTGCAGGAAAAAAGAAAACAAAACCGGCAAGCATCAGTAACATAGCTGAATGAAACCATATGTGGCTTTTTCAAACAAGCAATGTAAATAAAACTAAAAACTGATAATGAGTTAAAGTAAATGGTGAACAAAAGAGGAGTGCAAAACTGATGTGTAGTTAAGAATTAATGCAGTAGGTAGTCCTTTTAATGATAAGCATGCAGCAACTATCTCATTTTTCAGGATCTTCTTATGCTCATTATTTATTCATTTGTCTATTCTTTTAAAGCTGAAGATGGGAAAAGGAACAGAGGAAGTGTAAAATTGCACAACAGTTCCTGACAGCAACTAACAGAAGTTAATATTTCTCAAATTCACCTTTTGAAGATCTTCTATGGGTATTTGTTAATAACCCACTATATTAAAGAAGAGCTTCATGTTTACCACATTCACAAGCAAAAGGTCCACAATGCAATGGCCAAACTACTAACCAGTGAGTGAATTATGTGATCAAGATTAACTATAGAGATCAAATGCTTGAGGACCAACACGTTACGTTACGCAATAAATATTTATTCATTCTCGCTGTTTTCAAAGTATATTATCGCGCAGAAAAACAGAATGCATGAGAACTAGCTAATGTGCCAACTAATTAAAATAAAGGCACAGTAAACTGTAACTAGTGCACCCAACCAAAGGGATTCAAACCACTCCAGTTTATTGCAATTCAAAGAAAATAACACAGTTTGAAGGAAAAACATAAGTTGATCGCTAGTAACTCAAGATAATTAACATCAAGTCCAAATAAGAACCACCAACAACCTCATTTTCTTAATTAGTGCAGACATCTTAGACTAGATCTTAGCGTTAAATTCCAGACCAGACATTGATTACCATTAATGGATCCTAAAATAAAGATGATTCAGTGTTAAACGTCCATCCAAGATTTAGAGTCTGCTCAAATCCCATCAGCACCGTACATGAAATAAGAAAGAAAAAGACTAATTCGTTCTTATGGAAAGCCAAATTGAATACACTGCAACTTGAACAGATGGTTAACAGGCAATAAATATCATAATAATCATATTAAAAAAAAAAAAGTAATTAAATTTCAGCATATTTCAGCTAACCCAGAGCAAATTCACAGCGAAAAGCAACAAATTCAACATCAAACCATAATAAAATAAACAATCACACAGACTTCCACAAATCTAAATGCTAAAAACATGAAATTAACCACAAAAGGATCACAATACCAGGAACAATCTGAAAAAGGGATTGGGGAGGAGCACATTTGCAGTTGCAGGGAAGACAAGAAGCCGAAACCCCTTCGAATTTCAGGCGCTTGTTGAACTTGAAGTAAAGAGCGGGCCCACATACACAGAGCGCAGAAACCACCGCAAAGATCACCAAGCAACACCGCAAGCAGGCCGCGGATCTCCGGCTCATCGCTCTCCTCTCCTCACCTCACTGTGATTGTCGCTGTGTGTGGGGAAAAATGAGATCTAATTTTTGCTTCTCTTGTTTGTTCAATTCGCGTTGGGAAGTTTCGGTCTGCGACTGCGACTCGTGTTCTCACCTGCTGAATGGATCCGGATTTTTTTTTAATTAAACATAAAAAAAATAAAAATAAATAAATAATAAAACCAAACTAAAACTATGCCCATTTTCGTCAAAATTTCATTCTTAAGTGGCCTTTTTCAGAGAAAACACGCTATTAGTCAATTCAATGATAACTAGCAAATCTATCTATCTATTCTTCTTCTATACTATGCTGTCCTTATGTTAGATAGAATTTTAATGGCAAATTTGTAATCAAATTAAAATTTCAATGTAAAAAGAAGTCTCACAATAAATAAATAAAGTGATCCCTATGTAAAAACCTCTATGTTTGATCATGTGATCATTATGTATTCTTTTTCTCTATTAATATTTCCTTATTATGATAATGATAGATTTGTATTGTACATTCATCTTTATTACATATTATACATTGCTAATTTGCTGTGCATCTGTTATCTTCATTCATGCACAACACTGTGGACAGCAAAATTTTTAATCGAACAATCATAAACAATTTAATCAAATAACAATCATAAACAATTTTATGTCTCTTTGCCCACTTCCATCTTCCCCTGTTACATGCTTCATGGTGAAAGTTTCAATCCTTATAAAGCTGATATAAAATCCGGTTGCATGGTCGATTAACGTTCTCATCAAGCCCGTTTTCATGACACAGCTCTTGGAAAAAAAATGCACGTTTTCATTGTCCGATTTCGATTGACTGACAGGGTTTCGTCTGATTCCCCTTCAACTCCTTCAGAAGCAATTGGTCAGATTATTCATCTTTCACTGACAATCTCTCAACTGTTCTAATTTCGGTTATTATGCAAATAATAAAAACTAACATTATATTCTCTTTTAACACACAGGCTGTCTAATGCCTACCCTTCAACAAGAATGCCACAAGAAGTCAAGAAGTGTAAAGAGTAAGGAAACAAGCCTCAAATTCTCAACACTTTGATTATTTCAAATAATACCTTTTTCCTTCACTCCGTAGGTTTGATCATATCGCATAATGGAGCAACTGATTATTTCCCTTTGTTCAACTGATCTCGCGTACCACAAGGCAATTGAAGATGGTGCGGATATTGTCGATTGCCGGTCCAAATGTCCACAGATGGCATTTTCTCGTTCGACGAGGACAAATTGCAATTATCTGCATATTCTTTTCATTCTAAATTTACCGAGTTCTTGCATCTTGTTATGCAGCTCAAAATCGAGAGTTTCTTCCAGGGCGCGCTCGTCAGAAATGTTGAAAGTTAGGTGATGGGTGCCAAACTTTGACAAAAATCACAATGCATTTTCACATTCGAGGTGTCATGAAGGTGTTGTTTTTTGACAATGGAGTGCAATTCACATTGCATTCTTCTACTATAAATAGAGGAGCAAATTGATGAACAAAACACACCAAAAATTCAAGAGGAAAAAAAGGAGTGAGCTAAAAATAATAATTTAGTATTTGTGTGAAGTTTTGAGTTGTGAATAAGGTTGAGAGTGTTTTGTAAACACGAGTGTATTTTTCTTCCCAATAAAATATCTGCAGTAGTTCGGAGACGTAGACATTAATGGCCGAACTCCGTTATCAATTTGGTGTGTCCAATTTTTATTTTATTTCACTTTTATAGATCCGACTTCATGAAAAATTCAGCGTATTTTTCCCAACAAGAAATCCTGCAAACAAGAACAGCGGCAAGCTTGTGACCCTGTCCGAGTTCTTGTGTACTAATATCCATACAGGTTGAACTAAATTTGCTGAATTAAACACACACATAAATACAAGTTTCATAAGCAATAAGTTGTTACCTAATCACAACTATCATCTTCCACACAGAATGCGGCTTTCCTAGCCATGAAAGGTCTCGACAAGCAGCCGACCCATAAGGTCCTCATTCTGTCGGACGACAGCTCAGTACTCCTTAAATTCATCGTGGGCCCCACGAGTGACTGTCTTTACATAGGATGGATGTTTGCAGAGGTTTTTGAACAAAACCAGGATATGCATATTTGTATGTACTATTAATTGGCCAAAATGTGTGTGTGTGTGTGTGTGTATGTTTGTACAGACTTGTGATCGGTTTTGGTGGTCTGAACAAAATTATCAGGAGTTCAACAGCATCAAACTAACAAAATTTCAGAACACCGTACTTAGTTTTTATTTTTTAAAACACACACACACACACACAAATTAACCTTGAAAAAGGCAGCGTTTTGAGCTTACCCGAGTCACATTGACTATGTTCCCAAAATTATCCTAAATCCAAATTATTCCAAGAAAAAAGAAAATTGTCGATACAAAATCTTAAAATAATTAAAGAAAGAATGTGCGTAAAAAAATTTAGAATGCAAAAAAAAATCGAATAAAAACTCCTACACACAGCCAGCAACCAGAACGAAAACAAAAAAACTCCACAAAGGAGACTATAGACTCCCATATAGGAGAATTAAACTCCATACCAGAGAATGAACCAGACATTGCTGGAGGATCGGAAGCGTGGAGACAGTCTTATATTAACACATTGAATTTTACATGATTTTTCAATGTGGGACACAGAGAAGAAATTGTATTATATGGGCCGATGGTGGTGTTTACTTTTTCTCGTGGGCTGGACTTGATTTTTACGGGAAATTAAATCTTTTCTTAGACTAGTAGGTAACCCATTAAAATTTGGACTATACAAAAAACAGAACATTTTTATTTTTTTTTTTATTCTGTACGAGTTTCATTTTCATTTTTTCAAAACATCAAAGTCGTGTTATTTTGGAAATTTTCGAAATCTGTAATGAAAAACAAAAAATTAGCCTCTTTAAAATTAGGACCGGAGTATAAATAAAATACCGAGAATGAGACACTATAACCCTAACTACTCATTAGTTTAAGTCTGAGGCCGCCGTCGCCGGAGAGGTTGGGATTCTTTAAGGGCGGTTGCCCCTCTCCGTGTCCGCCGGCGGTCGGTGATTTCACAGCCCTCGATCTAAATCGAAATACCGAAACCGCCCTTGTTACAGTGAACTAGCAGCTTGCGACAATGACGATGGTGGTGATGATGATTATGACCCTTTTCAGGGGCCTTCTGTGTTCCCCTGAACCCTAAGACCCTAAACCCTATGACCCTTTTGCCACCCGACGGCGGGACCAAAAGGGTACTTGAGGCTGTGATGATTTTTAATAAAAAGATCGGATTTTTACGGAACTAGGCGCGTATCTTGGCCAGGCGAAAATTGGATTTGTCTTTGAGATTGAGTTCTCATTGGGCAGCTGGTTTTCTGCAGCCATGGCGGGCTTAGTCGTCGTAAAATTTTCTGATGATAAAAGGCGAATCTGAGTCTCAATTTGTTGTTGTGATATGAACTCGGTTTTTTTACTTTTTTTATTTTTCTCTNTTTTTTTTTTTTTTTTGTTTTTTTCTTTCATTTTTGTTTTTGTCAATTGTGAAAGGGTTAGGGTTTCAAGCTTAGGATTTTAAGATATCTTGGTTCAGATTTGAAACCAACCGAAGTCAATCATTGATACTCAAAAGATCGCTACCCGTGGTTGGTTGACGCCCCAACCACAGAAGCCACTCGCTCCCCATCAGCCCTAGTCACAAGCGTCAGTCCGCCATCAACCTCTTGTTGCGGGCGTCGCCATCCGCTCGAAACTTCTTGTTGTTGTCCACCGGTTTTGGTCGCCGGCGGAGAGGTGAAGTGTGTGGTTTGTGTCATAGGGAAAGAAATTAGAAAATTAAAGGGGAAAATTTTGGGAAAGAAGAAGAATAAGTGTTGGTATTGTGGCCCAATATTCAAACATTTCTCTGGCCCAATTTCTTTGGCCTGAGCCCAGTAAGGCAGCCCGCATGATCGAAGCAATCTTGACCGTTCACTTTTCTTTTGTTTTATTTACCTGTTACCTAAATTATTCTCCTAACATTAGCAACCATTAGAATAACCCTAAGAGTCTCTACACGGCATTTCAAAAATCCCGATCCTATTTGCTCTCAGTTCTCTCTTACTCTTTTTCCAACTTGGTGTCTAGTGATAAATCCTCTCTTATCTTGTTGAATCTTTGTGATTATGAAATCGTGAGTGAGTGTGTGAGATTGTGAGTGAGTGTGTGGGCTGAGTTCGGTTGTGAGGGATTTTGGGGGTTTTTGTGAGCAGGCTGTTTTCGGGCCAAGTTTGGTGCGACGGTAGGTGGTGTTACGCTGGGTTTGCAGTGCTGGAGTCAATTGAGGCCAAGGGTCTATTGATCGGTTCTTTGTCGGCTATTCGGTGACTCATTTTGTGGGCTTGACGAAAGGGGACTGAGCCTGTTCGTTCTAAACCCACTTCGTGAAACTGAGACTTATTCACGAAGCTGTCTGGGTCCTATCGGGGCTGTCCGAGACCTGCTGGGAGCTGCCAGGACGAACCAGCGGCTGTTCGGGGCCTGCGAGTACGACCACCCAACAATAAGGAAAAGAAAAGGTGAGTTTGAGAGATGAATACTGTCTTTGAAATGAAAAGGAGGAGAAAAGAAGAAAGAAGAAAATAGAGAAAAGGAGAACAAAAGAAAGGATAAGGTTACAATCCATTCCGTTAGGATTTGTAACCGTTAGATAACTATCATTCACGATTACTTAATAATTTAACCAAGTGCATAATGGACTGTCAAAAATTGATACGTATTATAAATCACCAAATCGACACATAGAATTACAAAGTGCCAGCGGAAACGTAATTCCAGTTATTATGCAAATAATAAAAAATTAACATTATACTCTCTTTTCAAACACAGGTTGACTATTCTTCAACAAGAATGCCGCAAGAACTGTAAAAAGCATAAGCAACAAGGACAAATTGCAATTATCTGCATCTTCTTTTCCTTGTAAATTTACCGACTTCGTTCTTGTGTACTAATATCCATACAGGTTGCACTAAATTTGCTTAATTAAACACACACATAAATGCTAGTTTCGTAAGCAACAAATTGTTACCTAATCACAACTATCATCTTCCACACAGAAGGCGGCTTTCCTATACACGAAAGGTCTCGACAAGCAGCCAACCCTTAAGGTCCTCATTCAGTCGGACGACAGCTCGATACTCCTTAAATTCAACATTGAGCTTACCCGAATCACATTGACTATGTCCCCAAAATTATTAACAAGATTTCCAATTTCTGCACAAAGGTTTCTGTACTTGCGCTGTCGCCAGTCTGCCGTGGCGGTCGGCCCACTATATCCTCGCAGGATCTCTCCTCATATATATTTNGATTCAGAACAACCCTAAATCCAAAATTCCAAGAAAAAAGAAAATTGTTGATACAAAATCTCAAAATAAACAAAGAAAGAATGTGCGTAAAAATAATAATCAAATAAAAAACTCCTATTAAAGGAGAATTAAGCTCCCATACGAGAGAATGAAACTCCATATCGGAGAATAAACCAGACAGTGCTGGACAAACGGCATGTGGAGAAAGTCTTTTATTAATACATTAAATTTTACATATTTTTCCAATGTGGGACAAAGAGAAGAACTTGTATTATATGGACCGATGGACTTCTCATGTATGTATATGGGCCGATGGAGGTGTTTACTTTTTCTCGTGGTCGGGACTAGTACCTAGCCCATTAAAATTTGGACTATATAAAAAACACAACATTTTTATTTTTATTTTTATTTTTTCAAGACGTGAAAGTCGTGTTATTTTGTCAATTTTCGAAGTCCATATTTTGGTAATTGAAAATAAAATAAAATATTAAGCCTCTTTAAAATTAGGACCGGAGTATAAATTCCGAGAATGAGGCACTAGTAACCCTAACTACTCATTAGTTTAAGTCTGAGGCCGCCGTCGCCGGAGAGGTTGGGATTCTTTAAGGGCGGTTGCCCCTCTCTGTGTCCGTCGGCGGTCGGTGATTTCACAGCTCTCGATCTAAATCGAAATACCGAAACCGCCCTTGTTACAGTGACTTAAGCTTCTGCTTTCGACAATGATGATGGTGATGATGATTGATTATGACTCTTTTCAGGGACCTTCTGTGTTCCCCTGAACCCTAAGACCCTAAACCCTGTAACCCTTTTTGCGACCCGATGGCGGGCCCAAAAGGGTACTTGAGGCTGTGATGATTTTTAAGCAAAAGATCGGATTTTTACGGAACTAGGCGCGTATCTTGGCGGGGCGAAAATCCGATTTGTCTTTGAGATTGAGTTCTCATTGGGCAGCTGGTTTTCTGCAGCCATGGCGGGCTTAGTCGTGGTAAAATTTTCTGACGATAAAAGGCGAATCTGAGCCTCAATTTGTTGTTACGATAAAAACTTGGTTTTTTTCTTTTTTTTTTTTCGCTTGTTAAAGATACGTTTGTTTTTGTTTTTTCTTTCATTTTTGTTTTTGTCAATTGCATATCTTGATTAGGTACACACAAGTGCAAAAAGGAAAAATCAAGTAACTAGTAAAAGTTGAATCGAGAGGGTTAGGGTTTCAAGCTGAGGATTTTAAGATATCTGGGTTTCGATTTGAGGGATTTTAAAATATCTGGGTCCCCTGCATTTTAACTTGTTCAACTGAAACTCGTCGGCCTTTACATTATTGTTTTTTGCTTATCCAATTTGTTATTGTCTCAATACCATAATTCTGTGTTCAGCATCATCTTTCTTAGTACAACACTTTATATGCTTTGTGGTCCAAACAGTATATTTCATTTTAACACGAAAGATTTTCCATGCTCAGTTACTAGATTTAACACTAAAGAAATTGACATATCAAACACAAGAGGCGTCTTTTGCAAATTGCAAGTGTTTCAGTCTTTCTAAAGTTGTAAACACAAAGCAAACATCCAATTTCTTGTTGCTCATATGCATAAGCATTTGACATGGAGAAATATATTTCTTTTGCAGTAAGTACATATTTCAATTACATGCACTTTTTTTTCGATTTTTGATTTCTCTTTCCGGAAGAAGGGAAAATTACTGCAAAGCAATCGGGAAGTAGGAGGTTACAATTATTTGAAAATCGATCGTAATATGTTAGCTATCGAAATGGAGAAATGAAATGCCACACCTTATTCAACCATGTATAAATACATTCTGTGTTCATAAAATTAGCTCAAGCAGTACTAGTCACAAATTAAGGTAAAATTTCATTTTTACTCGTCAATTTCCAGAAAAAATTGGACATAAAAAATTAGTGCGTTTATTTGAAAAATTTATCAAAACAAGTATACTAATTATTAGTTGCAGGATACAAGCCACATTATCACAGGCTCTCCGTGGGCTAATCACTGGTCGAAAATGTAGTTTGTGAATATAATTTAGAGTGATAGATATGCGGCTATTAATTTAGAATGTGAAATAATTTCGCATATCAAGAATTATCCAGTTGATTTGGATATATGATTAACAAATATGCGAATGTGTTTCGCATAATTATTAACTATACTTCCGATTTGAATATGCGTTGGTATATATACGATAAAATTATGCATAATTGTTAATTATGCGATTCATTTTGATAAAGAAGTTTTTTATAGAAAAGAAAATGTATGTATATATATTAAAGAGTAAAAAAAATTTAACCATTTTTTTTTGCCCTTTTTCCCTCTACATGTTAGCAGCTACATTACCTATATAAAGTTATATTCATGTTGGACAGGCCCGCCGTCATAAAGGATATCCAATCCGTCACTTTAGCCTTATCACCAGCCTACCACCATTGAACTATTTTGACACAAATTAGTAAAATAAAGTATTGTCCATTGGAATTTAGAACTTTTTTGACACAAATTAGTAAAATAAAGTATTGTCTATTGGAATTTAGAACTTTTTTTACACAAATTAGTAAAATAAAGTATTGTCTATTGGAATTTGAATTGAGTTGCTGATATGTTCATATAATATATATATATTGGTTTAATTCATTCAAATTTGGTGCATTAAATATTAATTAATTAATTAATCAAAAGTTTTCCAGTCAAAATAATGAAGCACCTGCCAAGAAGTGGAGTTGTCCAGACCTGAAAATTCTTTGCCTCTCTCTTCCTATAAATTCAGCAAATATCAATCAAGAGTTATTCCCATCACTACACACACCTGTTTGCTTCACTGTCCTATCTTAAGCTCCATAGATAATATTCATAGTTTCTGCAACATAATTAACAGAAAATTACGAAATGGCCCCATGCCTTGCTGAAAATTCCAAAAACAGCCCCAAGGAAATTGTTCGCCCTGTTGCCAACTTCTCTCCTAGCTTATGGGGTGCTCAGTTCCTCGATTACGAATCTGATACTCAGGTTAATTATTAATAATTACAATACATTATGTACTTTTCAGATTTTGTTTCATGCATATTAATTCATAGTACCATTTTCATATATATGTAAGATATTTGTAAAAAAAAAAATAAAAATTATATTGATGATAAAGTTGTTAATTAAATTCGCTTAACTAATTAAATGTTTGACTTGTAAACAAAAGGCGAAGCAAGAACTCTTTGAGACTGTTCAAGTGCTGAAGAGCAAAGTTGAGAGTATGCTGAAGAAAGCAAGTGAGGGCAACATTGTGGATGCTATTAATCTGATTGACACGCTAGAGCGCTTAGGCGTGTCGTACCATTTTGAAATGGAGATTGAAGAAATATTACAACAATTGTTCAACCTCAATACCAATTATGAGGATGAATCATTTGATTTGTACGCAGTTGCACTTCATTTTCGTGTGTTTAGACAGCACGGCCACCGCATATCTTGTGG